AGGTCCGCTACGTCTTCCTCTCCGCCACCATTCCCAACGCCATGCAGTTCGCCGAGTGGATCACCAAAACTCATAGCCAGCCGTGTCACGTTGTTTACACCGATTTCCGTCCGACGCCGCTACAACACTATTTCTTCCCCGCTGGTGCCGACGGTATACATTTGGTGGTTGATGAAAAGGGTGTGTTCCGCGAAGAGAACTTCCAGAAAGCCATGTCTTCCATCGCGGACAAGGGCGGAAGCGAGGCCAAGGACTTCATGGCGAAGCGTAAAGGCAAGGGCAAGGACAAGAAGACCAACACGGGCGGCAACAAGGACCAGACGGATATCTACAAGATTGTCAAGATGATCATGGTCAAGAGCTACAACCCGGTCATCGTCTTCAGTTTTAGCAAGAGGGAATGCGAGAACTACGCGCTTTCTATGAGCTCGCTCGCGTTCAACGACGATTCCGAAAAGGCCATGGTGACCAAGGTCTTCAACAGCGCCATCGAGATGTTGTCAGAGGAGGACCGACAACTACCCCAGATTCAGCACATTCTCCCCCTTCTCCGGAGAGGCATTGGTGTTCATCACTCCGGTCTTCTGCCTATCTTGAAGGAGACCATCGAAATCTTGTTCCAGGAAGGACTGATCAAGGTTCTCTTCGCGACCGAAACCTTCTCTATCGGATTGAACATGCCGGCCAAGACAGTCGTTTTTACCAGTGTGCGCAAGTTTGACGGAGTATCGCAGCGATGGGTCACGCCTTCTGAGTTCATCCAAATGTCTGGCCGAGCTGGGCGTCGTGGTCTCGATGACCGTGGTATTGTCATCATGATGATTGGCGAGCAGATGGAGCCTGCTGTGGCTAAGGAGATTGTCCGCGGTCAACAGGATAACCTCAACTCAGCTTTCCATTTGGGATACAACATGATTCTCAACCTCATGCGAGTGGAAGGCATTTCCCCCGAGTTCATGCTGGAGAGGTGTTTCTTCCAGTTCCAGAGCACGGCAGGTGTCTCCAACCTGGAGAAGCAACTTGAGAAGCTTGAAGAAGAAAAGGCAAACACCAACATTGTTGACGAGCCGGCTATCAAGGACTACTACAATCTGCGACAGCAACTGGACAACCACACTAAGGACATGCGTGACGTGATCATGCAGCCGAACTACTGCTTGCAGTTCTTGCAGGGTGGCCGAATGGTCAAGATCAAGTTCAAGGACTATGATTTCGGCTGGGGTGCTGTTGTAGCGTACACGGCTCGCAAGGCTAATAAGGGCGAAGTTCTGCCACCTGAAGAATCCTACATTGTCGACGTTCTACTACCGGTCAGCAGCGACACTAAGTTTGTACCAGCGGTGAACGACGGCCTACCGCCTGGTGTGCGCCCACCTGCGGCGGGAGACAAGGGCAAGATGGAGGTTGTCCCTGTGGTTCTGAACTGCATCGAATCTATTGGTCATCTCCGTGTCTTCCTCCCCAACGAGCTTAAGTCGACAGAGCAACGGAACAATGTTCGCAAAGCACTGAGCGAGGTCAAGAAGCGCTTCCCTGACGGAATTGCTATCTTGGACCCAATCGAGAACATGGGCATTAAAGACGACAGCTTCAAGAGGCTGCTAAGGGTAAGTTTCACGATCAAGAATCTGCATTGTTGTCTAATATTGTGCAGAAAATCGAAGTACTGGAGTCCCGTCTTCTCTCGAACCCTCTCCACAACTCGCCTAGGCTACCCGAATTGTACAGCCAATATGCGCAGAAGATTGCGATTGGTGAGAAGATCAAGAACATCAGGAAAGAGATTGCGAACGCTTTATCGGTCATTCAGTTAGACGAGTTGAAGAGCAGGAAACGTGTGTTGCGACGCCTCGGCTTCATCGACGAAGCCGATGTCGTGCAGCTAAAGGCCCGTGTCGCTTGCGAAATCAGCACTGGTGACGAGCTCGTGCTTAGCGAGCTGCTCTTCAACCGTTTCTTTAATGAGTTGACGCCAGAGCAGTGCGTCGCTTGTCTTAGCTGTTTCATCTTCGAGGAGAAGACGCAAGAAGTGCCAGCGCTCAAAGAAGAGCTTGCCAAGCCATACCGCGAAATCCAACAGCAAGCTAGGGTTATCGCGAAGATGTCACAAGAGAGCAAGCTGACAGTCAACGAGGAGGAGTACCTCAAGTCGTTCAAATACGAGCTGATGGAGGTCGTCTTCGCCTGGTCGAAGGGTGCGACGTTTGCACAAATTTGGTATGTTCGCTTTGCTACCGTCGCATTAAACGGCAACTAACTTCGAGCAGCAAAATGACCGATGTGTACGAGGGAAGTCTGATTCGTCTGTTCAGACGATTAGAAGAGTTGCTCCGACAAATGGCCCAGGCCTCCAAGGTCATGGGAAGCGAAGAGCTTGAGCAAAAGTTCACTGCAGCACTTGAGCTCGTCCGCAGGGATTTGGTCGCCGCCCAGTCCCTGTACCTGTAATGCGTGAAGCATGTCTTGTATATTATGGTATTGGTGGGAGTATTTGGTAGCATCATCGTTCAGCAGGTAAGTATGGCACTCACAGGGCGTTCTCCTTTATGCGGTTGAATGAAAACGCCACCGGACATGCCATTGTCTCAGGCGCACGCAAGGAGCTATCGACGCTGTGCACCTCAAGAAGGGGCACAGCGTTAATGCGTCCTGAATAGAAATTCACTAGATCTGATGTTGTGGGCTTGCACCATGGCTGAGGATCCCCCACGTACATTTTTCCAGACATGCATGGTGATATGTGATGCGATATAGATAGTGCCGCCTTAGCCGCTGCGGTTTCTTTTGTGATGAGGGACCACCTGAAGGCAGGGCATGAAGGGGCGATTTTTATGGAAAAAGCAAAAGTGGCGAGAGAACCCACCCTCAACCCCAGATGAAAGGGCAATTATCGTGGTTGACATCGGTGACATGTGACGTGATTGGTTGGGTGCACGGACTTGCCGGTTGTTAGCATATTCTTGGGCCTTCGTATGGCTCTGCTGTCTCCACCACAGCAACAACACAACACCCGACACCGCCCACGGCCCACGCAACGAGAGCCCGCCCATTGCATCACCACCCAGACATCGCTATCCGGCTCCCAACAAAGCAGGCGTGCGAAATCACTGCGTTTGCGGGCCCTTTCTCGTCATGAGTGTGCAGTACCAGCAGACATTCACGCCCCCTCATCTCTTGAACAACAACCGCCGCTCTCCCTCCCGCAACCGTACGTCCACTCGCTGCTCGCAACACCTCAACTCCATGTCAGCCACTAACTTTCACCCTCACGCAGCCTACGCCCCTTCCGCCGCCATGACTGGCCGCAAGCGGAAAGCCGAGGACGATGGCAGCGTCGGCGACGACGACCGCATGAGTGCATCGCCCACCACATCCTCCGCCGTACTCCCACGACCCGCGCCACGAGGCATGAAGCGCATGCGAACCAACATCTCCGGCCGCCCACTCCCGCTCCCTCGCCTCCTCGAGACGCTCAGCCCCGACGAGATGCGCAACCTGCTGCAGTCCATCTGCCAGCGCCACCCGGACATCGGCAACGAAGTCGTCACAACCGCGCCCCGGCCAAGCATACAGTCAACGCTGGAAGTCCTGTCAAAGTACGAGGCCGCGTTCCAGGCAGCCTTCCCCTTTGGCGGCCGTGCGTCATCAGACTATGCATACAATAGGGTGCGGCAACAACTCGATGAACTGCTCGACTCCCTCAAAGACTTCACACCTCACTTCCTCCCGCCGCACGAACATCAGCCCGCCACATCGCTCGCCTTCCTCGACGGCGCCACCGAGATCATCCATCGGCTACCCAACTGGGATACGTACCAACACAACCGTCACAAGCAAGAGGCGTACGAGGAGATGGCCAAGGCGTGGGCGATGGTCATCCAGGAGGCAGCAAAGAAGGCGGGTGGAATACAGCTCCAATACGGCGGATGGGACGAGAAGATTGCGAAACACAATGAGATCTCGGGCGGAAAGATGCAGGAGGCAGTCAACGAGTTGCGTGGAGGACTCGGCTGGATGGGCGCAGAGACCCCCAATCCCGCCGCCGGCGGGTCCAATGATGCCATGTCCATCCGCCAGCAGCTGCTGAGCGGAAACTACGGAACTGGCTCTCCCGCAAGCATAGGCGCATGGTAGATCGACACAGCAACGCCCTTTGAACATCGACCGTCATCACCATTTCGCCACACCACAGTCCCCATTCATCACAGCATTACTACCATGGTGATCTTCCAACAATTACGGCCTAATCCATACCCGCGAATGATACCATTGCATGGAGGCATATTCCCATGATAACGACTGCATAGCGTTTCCTTTCAGTCTTTATTCACGTACAACAACAGCATATGGCAGGGCGGTTCCATCATTGCATTGGCGTACCGGTTGCGACATCCACCACAAAGAAGACCCCAAACCTCTGATCTTTTGTGCATTCCTGTTCTCGCCTGTTTTGGGGGCGTAATGTTTTGTCATTATTACAAGTCATGTACCCGATTTAGGGGTTACTGTGCGGCGACGGATTGCACTCTTTCCTTTCACTTTGTTACTTGGGGGAAGGAGGAATGATACCATGCTCGGTACTAACAGAGCGGATGGGAATGGATGGACGGTATATAGGTGGGTGGAAAGCTGGACGGGACTGGAGTATGGAGATGAATAGACTTTTTTGTGTATATACTGACTGACTTCAATATGATTTTCGCAGTCCTTCGACGTTGCTCACTGGTACATAGGGATGCTCATTCCCTTCAAGCGCATTGTTTGGCACTTTCACGTGGCAACGCGCGTTAGCGCCGCGGCGCGAATCCACGGCGGTAATCACGACCCCGGACCTGAGGCCGCACCTCCACTTTCAGCGCGCCGTGCCTGTCACGTCTCATCCTCACTTTCACCACTACAGATCTCTCGCGGCCATAGACGCCGCCAGAGATCTCTTTCCCTCTTGACACCAACCGCCCTTTTTGTTCGTCTCCGGCTCCACCCCGCCGCTGTCTTTAAGAATGGCGATCACCAAAGCGCATCCTAATCTCGAAGTCGAGGTTTTCGTCAAGGGCGCTCAGCTTGAAGAGTATGTCGACGACGATGATCAAACTTCGGATGACGAGGTCACCAAGTACATCGAGGCCTCGTCTGGTGACAACTTTGAGGTCAAATACTGCTTCTCTCCTGGATTCAGTATTCGCCACAGTATTCTCTCGGAACTGAACGTCGACGGTGAATATGCGGTTGGTAGTGTCTTCAACCCTGGCAGTTCAGTTCGCTGGAATAATGCGTATACCTTCAAGGGATCGCGCGCATTCGAAGATGGCGAATACTATCTAAGGAAGTTCTGCTTCTCGCAGCTCGAAATTAATGGTTTCGTCTCTCTGTTTCTTGAGTCAACTAGTTGCTAACTTTCACTTCAGACGACGGTGATCCACGCACATTTAAGGACTCACTGAAGAAGAAGCTCCATAGGGTGGGTGATATATCTGTGCGCTTCTATTGGGTGACAGCTGGCGCAACATACAAAACCCCGGTCACGGTACGGAAGGACAAGAATCTGGGTGTTGTGCCAGAGAAAGCCCTCAAAGGCAGTGCGCTATCCCATCAGGCTAGGTCAGCGAGTGTCTTTCCCAATACTCACAAATACTTACACTGGGATTAGCTACGGCGCGCGAGAAGTCATGCAGGCGTACAGCACGATTGAAACCACGAAGATCGACGAAACGCCGTTTGCAGAGTTCACTTTCAAGTATCGCTCGAGAGGTGTGTGAGCTCTTCGTGGTCGCCGTATTTCTACTAATGCCGATGCCATTTAGCTGCTCTCAAATCCCTCCTCGTCATCCCACGAACTCCTAGCCCGGTACCGCTCGAAGAACGCGACATCAACACCCTTACCTTGGAAGAATCTCGTGAGCTCCTTCGTCTCCAGCGTGAGCAGAGAGACGCCGCTCCAGTCATCAAGCGAGAGGGTATCAAGCGGGAACGAAGCAGCACCATCGTCAACGAGGATAATGACGATGACGAAGTGACTTTCTTATCCGCCAAGCGCAGACGACTCCCCGTTACTCTCGATGAGAATGGTGCCGAGATTATCGATCTGACATAGGGATGGATCGGTGCATATACCATGGTCCTGGCAGATTTGTGGCTTTTCTCTTCGTTCTTTTCGAAGGCTCTCTAGCTTTCTGCGGCGCTGTTCTAATTGCTGGCGTATAAATAAGGCGTAACGGATTGACTCTAGCGCAGATTACCGCGGAGTGGTCTTATCGTAGTCACCTTGAGTACAAGCAAGGTTTAGTTCGAAATTCCTCATTCCAGCGTCTTTCTCAGTTGTTTTGTGGGCTTGTAGATTGGTCACCTCTCTCACCTAAGCAGCTGTGAGCCTCAAGTGAGCGCGATCCTTGTGGCTGGTCCCTCTAATCGTCCTCTAGCGACATTGTCTACTCAGCCGTTCGCATCTTCTTCTCTTCTCTCTTCAATCCATCGCAATGGCCATCGCAACGGGTATCCCAGGTCTTGAAGTCACTATCGAGGTCGACGCGGCATCACTACCAGAGTACGAACATGGAATCGTCGAAGATGATGGCGTTGCGACCTCGGCGTCCAGGTATATCGAAGCGCCGCCAGCTGCCAACTTCTCCATTCGCTATTTGTTTCGTCCGCCTTTCACCCCGCCCTCCGCAGTGCAAATGGATGTATTGCTAGACGGTAACTACGTGCAAGCACCATTCGTCGAGTGGGGTGGAAAGGAAGAGTGCGAGGGATACCTTTGCTCGCGATCGACTTCATCGACTGGGGGGCACAGCTTCACCCAGGGCTTCCAATTCGCTGAGCTGAGAACTGGTAAGCCTTTACGTCTAGCTAGCTCTTCAATATGACTGACATTACATAGACGAGACCAACACCCCGATGACCAAGGACCTCGCGGATCAGCTGTCACCCGTTGGTCGCATCGTGCTTTACTTCTACTTCATCGAGCATCTCGAAGCAGTGAGACCAGAAGAAGTACCTCAGCTTACCAGCAACGAGTTTGATGTCCTCAGCGAGAAGGCGTTACACAAGGCGGCTGCCATGCAGGGCGATCAGCTCTCGCATCAGACTAGGTATGTCATTTTCACTCATCATGGAGAACAACAATCGCTGACATGACCACCAGACTTAGTGCTCCCGAGCAACGTGATACCATCACTTACAACGAGGTCAAGACGACTGAGAACGAGCCTTTTGCAACGTTCACGTTCTACTACAGGTCGACAGGTCAGTAGCATGCGTACATAGCTCAGTCGTGTTGATAGCTAACAAGAATCCAGATGCGCTCAAGTCCATCGGCATCATCCCGCGTACCCCAAGCCCATCTCCGGAGCCAGAATCAGAGGCTGAAGACAGGGATCCGGAAGACATGACCGAGGAAGAGTTGAGAGCAGTGGTTATACGCATGCGCGTAAGTCGCAACTCAGGTTGGAGGCATGCGATTCCTGAGTCCTTTACTGATCATCAAACAGGAGAAGAACCATAAAGCAATCACTATCAAGCGCGAACGCGAGGAAGAGCGAGAAGGCAGTGAGGATACCCTAGTTGGTGATGAGGTCGAGTGGATCGGCAGCCAGCCGGCACATCCGATCGTGAAGAGGGTACGTCGCATGCCTGGTCCTGATGATGAGGTCGTGGCTCTTGATGATTGAGCGCATCCCTCATGCGAGTCGAAGGACTGATACATTAAGCAAGTTTGAGAAATTCGCGTGCTTCTGGCGTGAACACCTGGGCACGATCGCTTGATCGTCATCGTTCGTGGCACTGCTAGTAGCATTATCGGATGATTTCCTATTTCGTATCCATCTATTTATGCCTATCTTAACATTCTGGTTTTCCATTCTACTCCCTTTGTTCGTCTGGGGCGCTAGAATCTGCGCCAAATCTGAGGTTACTTGGAGGGAAGGAGCCACCAACGCGGCAGCCACGTTCACCTCTCGTACTATAGCGCGCGATTTTCGTGACGCGTCGGAGCCGAGAACTTCTAGACTATCGTCTCTCACCTATCAATAATCGCCTTCACCTCAGCTTCTGCGCTCCAACACCAACATCTTCAGTCAAGGTGAAGTCTTATCAGAACACACCTTCAACATATTCTACGCATCATAGACCTATCACAACTTCCTCTTACCATCATTACTTCTCTCATATTCTAATACCGTCGCACCTTCCGCAATGGCAATCGTCGATGAGGCTCCCGGGCTCGAAGTTCATGTCCAAGCTGATGGCAACCCGCTTCGCGAGTACATCGACCGCCATACCACCGTATCGGAAGCTATCTCCGAAAGCTACATCGAAGCCAAGTCAGACTCAACATTCGAAGTTCACTATTCTTTCAAGGCGCCGTTCCCCGTCGACCGTCCTGTGTCTATGATCGTCACCATCGACGGCAAGGATGTTGATGAGCCGCTTATTCGCCCCGACGAGCTGTACGACGCAAATGGCCACGTCAGCTCTGGACCGATATCGAACGATGGGAAGGACTGGTTCACGCAGCACTATCGCTTTTCGCCGCTTGATATCAGTAAGTCATCTCCACTTCCCATTGAACGACGGTATACTAACAGAGGTGCAGGGGAGTACAGCGAGGGGCGCATCCCAGAAGACATGCAGAGCAAACTACAGCCTATCGGCATCATAACTTGCGAGTTCTACTTCCTCGACAACGCAAGACGCAATCCAAAGATGGTCTTTGTACAGAAGGAGTTGGAGAAGCTGGATGCGGTCAACGAGAAGGCTATTAAGGGCGAGTCGCTGTCGCATCAGGCAGTGTATGTATAACCCTACACGGATGTCACTACGAGCTAACAAAATCGCAGTCTCGGCGATACAGAGCCCACAGAAGAGATTCAGTACTACGATGCGGACTATGCTGATGGCGGAGAACCGTTTGCGACATTCCACTTCTACTATCGCTCACTCGGTAAGCTTCGTAGATATGGGTCAACAGAAAGCAAACACTAACTATTGGCGTTACAGCTGCGCTCAAAGACCTTCACATAATCGAACGTACGCCTGATCCAGTCGACGTTCTCGACAGCGATGATATGGTGCTCGGGCAGTTGAACAGGGAACAACTAGAGTCTATCGTCCGCCGCTTCAGAGTAGGATCGTCTCCATTACCCACCCTACCAATTTACATGCTGATATCAACTAGGATCAAGAAGAGACCCGTGTACGCATGAAGCGCGAGCTTTCCGATACCTCCACCGTGGCAGGCGACGACCACAACGTCGACAGTCGAGCCATAGCTTGCGACGACGACTTCATCGAGATACGTTCAGTTGATCTGCGCAAGAAGAGGAAGCTTGAACGTGTCAGACAGATGCCAAGCGATGAAACCGAAGTCATTGTGTTGGACTGAGAACTGTGAAAAATATATATCGACGGTCGATACGTCAGTTATGTAAGGGTCATTCAAGAATCTAAATCATATCATAGCCTTAACTTCACGCACGCATATCTCGACATCGACTCTTCTTTGTCAGTCACTCAGGCCCGGTTCTGATGGTGAATGACTGGCGTCAATGTGCACCGAGATTCAAGAACGCTGTAACATTACACAGTATATATCCGACAAAGGAGCCCCCAACCAGTCCTTTGGGGCCAGTAAGACTGTAGTAGAGCGCACAGCGAATGACCTGAATACATAACGTTCCCACCACTTTCGCAATATTGAAATACCTTGTATAGAACCAGGTTTAGGATAACTCTAGAATGGTGACCCCATACATCAACATACCGGCCAGCAGGTCTGCCAGCACACCCACCAACACACAACCCAACACCCCACGTATAGACCAACTCACGCTCCCCACAATCCAAACCGGCTACCAAAACCGCCTCTTCACAGCCGTCGACCTAACATCAGCCTGTCTAACCAGAATCCGCGAAACAAACCCCAAATTCCACGCCGTAGCAGAAGTAAACCCCGACGCTACATCCACCGCCCAACACCTCGATGCCGAGCGCCTCTCAAAAGGCCCCCTCGGCCCCCTCCACGGCATACCCATCTTGCTAAAAGACAACATACCCACTCTCGACGCCACATCCACAACATGCGGCAGCATGGCTTTAGTCGGCGCCAAACCATCACACGAAGCCGACGTCGTAAGCGCAGTGCGAAAAGCAGGAATGGTAATCCTGGGCAAAGGAAACATGGCCGAATGGGCTGGATTCCGCTCCACGAGCGGGTGCTCTGGCTGGAGTGGAAGAGGAGGCCAGACAACGGGGATCTACTATCCTGGTATGAAAGCGAGTGGGAGTTCGGGGGGTTGTGCGGTGGCTGTTGCCCTGGGTATGTGTTTTGCGGCGCTGGGAACGGAGACGTGCTACTCGATTGTTTCTCCGGCGGAGAAATCTGGGATTGTGGGGTTCAAGCCGACGCGGAATTTGCTGTCCTCTGAAGGTCTCATACATGCGTCTAAGAGACTGGATACGGTGGGTGTCCTCACGCGAACAGTCTCGGATGCTGCGCTCCTTCTTATCGGTATGGTTCAATACAGCGATCACCTCCCCGCCCAAACGAGACAGAAAATAGTGCAAGATCTCAGCACTGCAAATTCAATTCCCCATCTCCATGGCATACGAGTCGGTATCCCCAGCTCCCTGTCCGACATGCAAAATCTACCCGCCTGCAAGAAGACAGCCTTCGAAAGAACGCTCAGACTGCTAGAAAGCGCCGGCGCAACCATCGCCCGCAACGTCACTGTCACCGGCGCAAAGGGCTGGGAAGCTCTCCCGCAAGAAGCCAAAGACATCGTCCTAAACACAGATATGAAGGTCGCAATAAACGACTACCTCTCCTCCCTCGCCACAAACCCACATGACGTGCGTAACCTCGAAGATCTCATCGCGTTCACAAAAGGGCACCCAGCGGAGCAATTCCCACAGCGGAACGTCGAGGGTCTGGAGAGAGCACAGGCTTCTGATCCGAGCAATCTGCTTTACGAGAACATGCTGGTGAGAGACGAGTACTACACGGGCGAAGGCGGTATCGACGCTGCGTTGTGTAGGAAGTGTTGCGATGTCATGCTCGTGCCTACGTTGAGTGTTGCCATGCAGAGCTTTGCTGCGAAAGCGGGAAGTCCGGTTATGAGTGTGCCTATGGGTGTTTTCCCGCGAGATACGCCTGTGGAGAAGGACGCGAGGAATGGGTTGGTTAATGTAGCGCCTGGGGTACCGTTTTCGGCGTATATCTTTGGGCGGGCGACGAAAGATGAGGATGTGGTTAGAGTGGGGCATGTGCTAGAGCGGTTGACGAATGTTAGGGAGACGCTGGTGCCGTATGTTGATGCTGAGGCTGGGCCTGGGGCTGCTGCGGCGCCCTGACCTCTGGCTTTAGAGAAGAGGCGTCGAGACTGTAGAAGGACGGCACGGTAGAATGGGAACATAGAAGGACACCAAGGAGAGTACCGACGATGGTAGGATGGGCAATCAATTCAAGATGAGACTCTCAGTATCCCATGCTATGCTAGTGAACATGAACCCGGGCGGTAGATGAGCCTGCTTGTAGTTCACGGTACTGTTCCAGTGAAAACTTCGTATCCAGTAAATGCTCCGTATTCAGCATTCCATGCGCGCTGCCTGCTGTACGATGCCATGATGTGCCTTTGAAGTGTCCTCAGTCGAGCGAGATGACTTCGTCGGTGCTGGTGGGGAAGCAGCGTCGCTTCGCGGGTCGCTCCTCTACCATCTCCACGTCTTCGTAGTCATGGTCGTCATCGGGGTGTTCGCGCTTACGAGACTGGGTCTCCTCGTGCTTGAGCTGTAGTGTTCTGTAAGCTTGCGTCTTGACAAGGTGTAATGAAGAACACTTACGTAGATCTTCTGCACCTTCTCCTCCGACACATCTTCCTTGAAGGGCTCTGGGCTAGGTGTGCGGGGGATTATGGACAGGTACTTGAGAGCTTCCTTGGACCGGTACCGGAACTCGATCTCAGCAAGAGGGCGGGAAGGGCTGTCGACATAGTCTGCGTCCATGAATGTAACGGGTGCAATGCGGTGCAGCGGGTCGAGGCTTCCAGAACTGTTAGCGCTTCACAGAGAGGGTGTTGTGCTATACATACGTTGTCTTGTGCGAGACGGACGAGCCTTTCAGTGCTTTCTCGGGGACCTCGTCGTACTCTCGCATGGACGGCACGTCCTTCCACGCGCGGGCGAAGCGTACGTTAGTGACCCGGTGAAAGGTGATTGAGATGTTGCCAGTCCATTTCAGCTGCTTCCAAAGCGCGTGGTCAATCTCGTAGTTGTCATCATCTGAATCTGTTAGCGGCGTGGCACCAATGCTCACTGGCTAGACTTACGGGTGTTGAGATCAGCGAAGCGGAAGCGCTGGCCGAGGTACTTGTGACCGATGAGCGCGCTGCTGTCGTTGACCTGTCTTGTGATGCCGTAGAGGTTGTACTTGTGCCGCTCGAAGATGAACTTGCGCATGTCAACACCGTCGATGTTGACAATGACCTTGATGGAGTGGCGGTCGAAGACGTAGCCGGGGATGAAGAAACGGACGCCAAACTGCTCGCCCGCTTCGGCCTCGATGTAGACGACCTTGCTTTCGGAGTTAGCATCTTCTCGGTCAGCATGTTCTTTGACGGGGCGACCGTCCACGAGGACGGCCGCCTCGAGCTTGGGGAAGAGGGGATGGGGGGCCATGACGAGAGGTTCGGCTGTGGTGCAGAGGAGTCAGAAGAAAAAATCTACCTAAGTTGCGCTCTGCCTCCAAACAAACGGTGTTGCTGGGGGAAGGAGCAGTGAGTACGTAAGCAGCCACGTGCTTCATGCCCAAGAGGCAGGCACGACGCGACACTGTCCTCACCGTCTTCATCGCTCACCTCACCTATTTGTTTCACCTTTCATCCGGTCAACTTGTAGCTTACAAGCGCCGCTCCCCTTGCACTGAACGTTACACCAAACCTCACCCTGAAGGTATACAGTGCCTTTCCATCTCTTACAGAAACATTTGTAGCGCAGCGTATACATCCAGGGTACACTTTTGATATGCATAAACCAAATCGTATGAGCGTCTGTGTATGATCAAGGTATATTATGATATACGGAACCCACAGTGTATAAGTGTATGTGTATTCCAACAGCCATTCTGACAGGAGACTGCGCGAGACACTGACGTCATGTAGCCGCCTGTCCTGTCCTAGATGCTGTCGTCCGCTACAAAAGAATGTTCCCAGGCGGTAGCCCAAACTCCAATGATGCAACGCTTGAGTGAGAATGAATAGCAAAGGAATGTGTCATGAAGTCTCGTAATCATATCGTAAGTGTCGAACGGGTAATAGGATGTTAGCTGCTTTCCTCCATTTTTTCCTCCGGTACTGGTTCATTCAATCGTGCTTGTCGTGACTTTCTTCGTAAGAATGCTTGCAGAGAGAACATCACCAGCAATATCAGCGCGTTAACGGTCATGACGATCTGCAACCACTTGACGGTAACCTGTGATGATGTTAGTGAGTCGTGTCGCAGCGTACTTGTCTGTGACTGACCGCCTCGGCACATGCGACGCTGGCATTTTCACGGTCTCCCCTCGGGATAAAGCCGGGTTGGTAATTGCATGTTGCCATCTCGCGCGTGCAGTACACGTTGGTGTTCATTTGACCACTCATCATGAGCCTTTCGGAAGTGCAGCCCCACTTATCGTCGCCTCGCTCGGTGTAGTGAAGTACGACAGCTGCGATAGCCGTGGCAGACCCAGCAATAGTGGTGACGACAATGCTGAGCATCCAGAAGCGACGTGTGCTCTACTGGACATTAATGTGAGTTCTTCGGGTTGAGATCGTTGTTACATACGCTATTGAATTGCGAGTCCATGTCTGGTTTGCGCAGAGTACTCCAGGCAATAAGAGCCACCACGGCTGCCGTCAGGTTCAAGCATCCGGATACAATAGTGGCATCTGTCGGCGACTCTCTGAAATAGACAATCGTGTCATCGACGACATATTGTTGCAGCCGGTCATTGAACTCGCTTGTTACTACTTTGAGACCTCGAGGAATAACCCAGTCTGTAAGGATCCAGTAATGCGTTGTCAACGCCACCGAGACTACCGAGAGAAGGAGGAAGACGATCGACGGAACGAGGGCGAATTTGAGGATATTGTCATATCGTAGCATGTTGTCGTTTGGGAGTCGGTCCTACACCGGGGAAGGACGCTGAAAGTGATCGCCGGATTCCAGAAAGCGGAATGGCAGCCCGTAAAGACATGGGCATGGCCCTACCTAAAATAAGGCGCGACGCTCGTCCGTTCCCTGCTGCGCCGTTCCAACTACCAGCGCGGATGTCTAAAAGCTTGTCCGGGGCTCGGCGCTCATCATGACCCGCCTTTGGCACCGCCATGTCAGACAGTATTAGGCTGCGCTATGCGTGATCGACGTGACAATAGCAATACTTAGAACGACTGGATATTATGAGAACATTCCTGTCGCACGATTGTCTTTCAGAGGCCCTCGCCGCCTGCGCCGTGAAGAGTGCCTGATGTATCTGCCGTGTCTGTATAGCGTCCCAGCCACTCGCGCCACGGGACTCACCGCATAATCGGCAGTGACTCCGAAACCTCTGACAACTGAAAAGACGCGCTCCATGTCCGCGCCGCTGGTCGCCTGGCTGGGCGTAAAGAAGATTCAACTATGATTGGCAATGTTCCCATGGACGCAGCTCTAGTTGAAGTTGAACAACGTCATCATAGCCCCGTGAGGGAGCGAGCCGAGTTCCGTGGATGGTATTGCCAAGACTCACGTACTTGCTGATTTGCCGGCCTATCCGACACCATGGCCCATTGCGTACATACATCACCACTTTTGGCTCAACGTTAAATGCAGGTACGCAGCGGGGAAACTGGGGTTGGGTGGTTGGCACGACCAGCCTCGAGATGTTTGTATCGTTGATGACGCAGTGAGTGCACGTGCTTCATGGTCTAGGCGGCGCTACATCCGCGAGCCAACTCCATCTTTTGCACTTGCATCGTAATATCATTTCCATACAATGCGTGTTGAGTGACAGGTGTCTCACACTACCGTGAACATGACATTGATCGCATCTATTGAGTACCTCTTGCATCCCGAGGTCGGTATCGTCGACCCACGGCTCCTGGAATCCACTTGCCCCGGATAATCAATCTCGCCGGACTTGACACATAACACAGCCACCCCTTACCACTCGAGCTTTCCTCCGCTAGCTAGATTATGACCAAGCAACCACAAACTTTGGGTCTAGGCTCCTTGACGAACCGGTTACTTCCACTCTCGAATCTGCTCTTTGATCTCAACCCTACGTGCGTTCTTGAGAACGATGTCAATTCGCACTTGATTCGACCTCCTGAATAGTGACACACAGCATCTCCCTCGAAAAGTGACAACGTATTCCTCGGAGTAAGATCTGCGAACTCTTTTCATATTGCGGGTCAACAAGCACACTCACATGCCGTAGCGATTGGAGCAACTCCCAATCAGCTTTTTCTATGTGCTCTATGAGACTGAGCAGACAACCTGGCATGGCCAACAGCGAGGTCATGAGCTTGAGGTTGTGAGCTCCCACAACCTTCACAAGCCTATCCCAGAACCAACAAGAGGTGATGTCGAAGGTGCAGGTACTAATGAAGACAGAGAAGGCTTCATACTTGATTTGGCGGGAAACGTAGAGTAGAGCTGCAGATTTAGGTGGAGGTCGCCGAGGAGTGCCACTGGGTTCGTATAGCGAGATGTGGACGGTGGAGTCGGTGAATGTGTACTTGTAAATCTTGACTCGAAGCTCGACTGGAAGTTTCAAGAGCGGGGACATCAACTGGTTGCGTCTAGCACTTCTTCGGTGTTAGCAGCTGGACAGGTATATCTGCAGGATATCTTACATGATGTTGCAATCTTCGCCATTACGCAGAAGCGGGACAGACGGGGTACGATGGCCCGGGAACGACATGATATCAGGCCGGTGTTACTAGGTTCCTGTTATATAATTATGGGTCTCGAGTAGAGCTGTTGTGTGGTGAAGGAAGCAAAGCTTGCTCGCAAAGTAGTCGCGTCAAGACATTGATAGCCACAGCTGACCCGCCTCACAATGCCATTTCACGTCAATTGCGAACATCAACTTGGCCTTCACTTTGACCTCCACCTGTGCGTGGAACAAACGCTTAACAGCGCAACGTCGCAGAAAGGTTTCCAGCCCCACACCACGGACCAACGCGAAAGTCACAAAGAAGGCACAAAGACAAGTTCAACAGTGGAGAGAAAACAAATCTCCAATTCAAAAGGATATATACGAAGTAATAGAAGATATTTACAAGAACAGATGAATCCACACTCCCCTAAGCAACAGCTGACTCTATCAGACT